TTCAATGAACTTATCATTAAAGCAGTATTTCCAATGAATTAAGAAATTTGTTAGGAATTTTGTCAAACACTTGGCATATGCTTGTTTAATGATTTAATAGTGGTGGTTTGATGAAAGTGTTTGAACCACTATGTTTATCATTAGACAGAAAAACTTAGCAAGCAAATTGAATTACAAAATTATGGAATATGTAAAAAGATAAAGAGAAAGAAAGAAAGAACGATACGCATGTAGTTTGGTAAGGAAGTTCCCCACTGTCGTCCTCGCGTGTGGGTACGTCTCCCTCTCAATTTCACAATTGAAACTGAGAACTTTTATAACAATTTGCTGAATGTTTGATAACAAGGTTACACTACACAGAAAGATAGAAATCCATATGATCTTCTTCTTCTTGTAAGAACCACCACTTGATATGAGTTGTATCAAGATTCCCTGCAAGGTCCACAAACGATCCTCCGCTTCCATGACCTGTTTGTAAAAATCCTTTCGATTTCCAAACCCCTCGCTACGGCTGAATCCGACTCGTGCGACCGTGACTAACAAAACCCTCAAGAACACACCCGTTCTTGAAGGAGAAACCCCTTGGTTTATTTCTTGAAGCCTCCTTTTCAATCTTCAACTCAGCTGAGATTCTTTCAATACACAGCTGAACGTTATCTCTGACCTCTTGATCCACTTCAACAAGGATGTTTGATTTTAGTTTTTGTTGTCGAATGAAGATGATTGAGAAGATGATGAAGATGAAGTTTCTTTAGGCTTCTGGCTGCTCACAAATGTTTGCACACAATTCTAATATGTCGCAATGACCTTCTACTGAGAAAAATACTTACTTATATATGTAACAGAAAACGGTTAGCCAAAAGAAAGTATTATGAGTCGATGCATGTTGGTCATGAGTCGACTCATGTTAGTTATGAGTTATAGATGGGTCGACACATGTTATTTTGAGTCGATGCAAAATCATATTATAATATTTTACAGAACCAACAATTTTATACCCGTCGATGCATAACACGTATGTGTCGATACATACTGATTATAATTTTAATTTTTGAACATAAAACATGGTATGAGTCGACGCATGATATTATGTATCGATGCATATAAATTCAAAAATGTTTTCCAGGAGCATCAAAATGTCATGTGTTGATGCATGAGATTTTGTGTCGATGCATACAAGTTTAAGTTATATTACAGGGGGCATCAAAGTGTTATATGTCGGTGCATAAGATTTTGTATCGATGAATGCAAGTTTAAGTTTGCATTACAGGGGCATAAAAATGTTATGTGTCGATGCATAAGATTTTGTATCGATGCATGCAAGTTTAAGTTTGCATTACAGGGGCATCAAAGTATTATGTGTCGATGCATAAGCTTTTGTATTGATGCATAATAGTTTGGGATAGTATTCCAGGGACTTCAGTAAGTTATGGATCGATGTAAAACCTGTTGTGTCGACTAATAATGATGTATTATGAGTAAAATACATTTTTAGCTTATTTTAAACATGTTATATCATATTTTTGTAATGCACACATGTATTTATTATTTCATATATATTTGCAATCATTCAAAACCAATTATGAAGGTGTTGCTCACATTCTTGTATTCATCTTCTTTGTTGAGCAAGCTATGAGCAACAACTCATTGCTTCTTCATAAATCTGCCAAGATGTATATGATGGAAGTTTGAGTAGTATCTTGTAGAATTCTTCTTCTTCATCTTCTTCTTCTAGTAATCAAGATACGAGCAACAACTCCTTGATTTTTATTTCATCTATTCAACATTATAGATATTTTCTATTAAGAACAATAACATTGTCTGGACTTAGATATGGTCTTCATTGCCACGATCTTCGTTACTTTGAATTTGAAGCTTTAGTCTTCTTATATAGCCTTCATATGAAAAGAGTCGTTGTAAGGATAAAAAAAATTCTTTTCTCCTTCAAACGGTGGATTCCCAACGGATATATTCAAGAGAGGTTTGAAATAGTACGAAATGTTACTTTCCTACGCATGCTACTTGCAGTGGTAAACATACGACAGTGGGAGAACAACTTCTTTAAATAGTATAGTTCATGTATTATTTTCTCCTTAACTAAGTTTCTTATTCTTTATCTTCTGAAGATGTACTTCTGATTCTGAAGTATTAAGCTTGGAAGAGATCAATTACTTGTCTTCGTTCTTCTAATAATTGACTAATGAGTAGTTCAAAAACTACTTTGTTGTTGTAGAACAAGAACGTCAGAGTGGTCAGAACCAAATATTGTCTTCAGAATTATGGCCAGAAGCCTGTCTGAAACACGAAGCTTTTCTTCTAATATAGAACTACTCTTGAGGGCATATTTCTTTTATGATCTGAGAGATGAGGATTATGTCGAGAATATGTTTCATTTTAGATTCTTTCTACAATGGATTCTTGTTTCTAGAATGATCGACAACATCCTATCTGAAGTAACAAGTCTTTGACATTGTACGTGAAAGCTTTTCTGATGAAGATATTAAAATATTTTCTAATGAGGATCTTGAAATCATATATTATGACAACAAATTATCTGATTCTCAAGTCTTTGAATTCTAGAGCTTTGGTTATTTCCTTCTTACTGGATTGTTTTTTGTTGAGGAGTGATATTGATCCAGAAGATTCTTCTTTGTTATAAATTCATCATCTTTAAGATATTTGAATATTGTCGTCAGATACATAAGCAACAAATTATCTGATGAACAATTTCTTCTTTGAGTGAAAGCTCTTATTATCTACTTCTTGACTTGATCCTTGATTCTTGATTATAAGCTTTTCTAAGCTGCATATCTGATGTCTGATTTCTGAAGCAACAACTTATATCAGTACATCTGATTTGACATTGAATTTCTTCTTTCTTATCTCTTAAATTCTAATATTTGGATTGAGCTAAAAGTAACATCTTATGTCATCTACATATTGTTTGATCATGAATTCCTTTCTTGTTGAGAATGGCTCATTTATGGGAGCATGCTTGATTCCCTTTCTGATTAATAATCAACATTATGTAGAACTGTTGATGTTTCTATTAGAAACGGTCTCAATATTTTTTCTGTTGAGTGAAGTGGTTCTTCTGATGATATTTGTCTTCTTGTGGATATTACTCTTGTTGAGTAGATTAGCTTGAGAAGATATCATCCTTTGATCTTGTCTTCTGATGGACTTTGAAATGTTGATTAGAAGTGAGTCCAGAAGATATTCTTTCTTTAATCCTTTCTTCTAATGGAATACTTCTGATGTAGAACGAAGCTGCATATTCCATGAAATTCTCTGAGTCTTCAGAATCTTGACTTTGTCTTTAGATTACTTGCGCAACAACTCTTCTGATGAGCAAATCTTGACTTCTGATCTTGGAGTAGAAACTTTCTTTATATGTGTTCAAAATCTTGACTTCGTATTTAGAATCATAAGCATCAACTCTTCTAATGAACTAGTCTTGACTTCTGATCTTCTGCGTTGGAAGCTTGTTTCTTGTCTCCTCTTGATTTCTGATCTTGAAGCAACAACTTATCATAAATTATTTCTTCTTGGAAACTCATTGAGATTATTTTCTTGTCGAACATTCAGCATTCCATAGAACTATTGATGTTACATTAGAAATAAAACTCAATGGTTCTTCTTCTGAGTGGTAGTATGATTCTGATGATATCTTGATTAAGACTGTCCAGAATACTAGCAATGTATATCTGTAAACTTAATGAAACTATTAGAACTAAAATTGTTCTGCATAAAATATATGTTTGTCATCTTCAAAACTTAGAGATTAAACATAGATCCAAATCTTGTTCTTACATATATAATATCTCTCAACTATCGTCAAACTAAGATGTAAACAAGATTCTTTGTCTCTCAAAGACAATTTCTAGATCTCTATTTCTCACTATCACTCTTGAATTACCTCTATAGAATAGAATAATGAAACTCGTCACAAAACCTCTAATTTACAAGAGAAATTTCAAAAGAAATCATGAATAACCAATACTTAAATTTACAATAATCTTATATATATATATATATATATATATATATATATATATATATATATATATTATTGGACTGGGCCTGCGCTTAATCTATTGTCGGGCAAGGCCTAGCCCAATTCTGCATCGAGAAAGGTCCAACAACATCTTGTGAACTAGACCTGTGTTTGGTCCTTTGTCGGGCAAGATCAGTCCATCGCTATTACGAGAAAGGACCACCATATGGGGCCACTTTTCTACATCAGGTAGGGAATGTCTCCCACACGTACCCATCGGAAATGTCTCCTCCACGTGTTTGCTAGGGGTTCGTGGCCAACGCTCACCCGAATATCACATAGTCATTCTACTCCCGAAAATAATAGGTCTTCACCCTCCGAGAATCAGGGGCAGTTGAATTAAGATAAAGACCATGAACTGGTCTCCTCTATCCACGTAGGATCCTGGCAGTCTCCATTATAGGCCTGGGCATCCAGCCTAAATGGAGACCTTGGTCCAGCGTTGGGGGCGATAAATACCATATTTCACTAGAGAGTTAGGTACACATTATTCAACTCACTCTAACTTTATACTTGCAATCTCCATTATATATATATAAATGTGTAGTCTCATGTTTCAAAGAATGTCAATCCTCATTTTCCATATACCGTAGAAACTCTTTAAATTAATAATGTCAGTACAGGAGAAATTTATTAATTTAGAGAGCTATTAATTTATCGATAAATTACTAATTATTAATTTAAAGATTTTTTAAGTAATTATACTGTACATACCAAACAAAAGGAAAATTAGTCTATGCCTCTTAGAATTACGTTGCAGCGAACCTTGGGACTCAACGTAAATTAGTAACTACTGTGTTCATATGCATTGGAAATCAATAATGACTTTTGAAGTACAATAAATGTAAATAAGAGGAATAAATGTGTTCAATGTATTCTTAAGAAATTTTGGCATATATAAATTACATGAATGTGTTAGAGTATTCAAATCATATCTCTCAAGATGACTTCTCATCTAAAAGGTATTGCAAAATCAATTATGTCAGATCAAATACGTAAGGAGTTGTGTGAGTACAAGAGAGATAATCCTGCAAGCACACAAAAAGACTTGCAGAGATGGCTTGAGGGAAAATTTTAGTTGAAAGTTAGTCAAGAAACAATATCAAACACACTTAAGCGGTCAGATGACTATCTCTCTGCTGAAATAGAAAAGGGAAGAGCAGAGATCAAAAGACACAAACCAGCAAAATATCCTGACATGAAGAAGGTTGTTTATGAGTGGTTTCTTCAACATCAAGAACGTGTGAATATCACAGGAGAATTAATTTTGCAGAAGGCAAGAGATACAATGAAACTCGTGTACCTTCATGATGATTCAGATTTTAACTTCTCTATAGGATGGCTTGGGAAATTCAAGCACCGACATGGCATAAAGTCATTTCTTCGTTTTGGCGAGAGTGAGTCTGTTGATGTACAAGACATGGAGCAGAAATTGGTATCGATTCGGGAGAAAATAGATCAGTTCCCTATGAAAGATGTTTTCAATATGGATGAAACTGGGTTGTTTTATAGGCTACAAGATGATCTTTCACTGGCAACAAAATAACTTGAAGGAAGAAAACAAGATAAATAAAGGCTGACGATAGTTATTTGTTGCAATGAAGATGGCTCTGAAAAAATCCCTCTATGGATCATTGGGAAATATACAAAGCCCCGTTGCTTCAAGAATGTCAACATGAATAGCTTGGATTGTCAGTACCGGGCTAACAAAAAAGTATGGATGACTAGTGTGCTTTTTGATGAATATGTTCGTTCATTTGACCAAATGATGCATGGTAGAAGAGTTCTACTTGTGGTGGATAATTGTCTAGCACATCCAAGAAATATTGAAGGGCTAAGAAACATTGAGTTGTTCTTCTTGCCACCCAACATGACATCAAATATTCAACCTTGCGATGTTGGGATAATAAGAGCTTTCAAGATGCATTATCGTAGAAGGTTTTACCGCAAAATATTGGAAGGTTATGAGGCGGGACAATCTGATCCAGGGAAGATAAATGTCCTTGATGCTATCAATTTGGCAATCTCAGCTTGGACGGTAGATGTTTGAAAAGAAACAATAACGAATTTCTTCTGACACTGTGAAATTCGATCAGCTAGTGACGTTACAAGAAATTTTGATGAATCCACTTTTGATGAAGAAACTCAAGACCTCGAGACTATGATCAATCAATGTGGCTATCGTAATAAGATGGATATCGATAATCTAATGAACTACCCAGGTGAAAATGAAACATGTTCGGAGGTTCAGAATTTAGAAGATATTGTGGGTACTATCATTGAGAATAATGCAGAGGATGACGACAAAGATGATACGGTGTCTTTGGAGCCTGTTATACGAAAGGAAGCACTTATGACGTCGAACACTCTTCATAACTTTATGATACAATACAAAAATACAACACCTGAGCTATTGGATGCAATAAGAAAAGTTAAAGATGAACTCCAAATAGACTTGAACTTTAAAGGAAAATAGACAACTATTGAATTATATTTCAATAGAGTGTAATATATTTTTTTTCAGTTTCTATGAATTATTAATTTATGATTTTCTTGTGACCGAAAATTTCAAAGGAATCTCTTGAAAAATTATTATCTTATTATTTTATCGAGTTTTTTAATTTTTTACATTGACCCAAGTTGAGATCGAACAAATTTATTATTTTAGAAAATTTATTAATTTATCGAACATTAATTTAAAGAATTTCTATTGTAATAAAATTATTATGATTATTTGACTATGGTCCATTCAAATTAAATAAAGAATACCAACACATGGTTAAAATTTTAAAGTATCTAATTTTAGATAAATTTTAATAATTAATTATTCATTATAAACGTAAGCAAACACAAAACAAGTGAAGAATCAATTAGAAGTAAGCCAAATAACAATTTATAATATACAAGTAGGGGAGCATAAGAATCCCGAAGAGACCTCCATGGGAGGAAGCTGGAGTATGGCACACCATTAGCGCAAATCTGGAGCGGGCAGACGGTTTCGTGGCATTGTTTTTCCAGCTTCTCGAAGAGCTACCATATCACCAAATACTCACTTTCTCCATGATGCTATGAGGCATTTGGAAGAGGGAACCATAAGATGTGGATCGGGGCCGAGACGAGTGCACGCATGACTATGCATATGGCGTGGGAATCATTAACGCAGTCGCATCATGCTCGAATCAACGCAGGTTGCAGAAACCGTCCCATGCAGACTGAAACCGAGACAGCAAATCCAGAAAATATTAGATGGCGAGTTCCAGCAACGGGGGAGATAAAGTGTACCGTGGATGCGTCAATTTTCAAGGAGAATGGATGTTACAGAGTGGGAATGTGTTTTAGAGGATCACATGGTGAATGTTTAAAAGTTAAGATAGTTTGGTTCCATGGTTTACCTCTACCTCATGATGCGGAAGCGAGAGGTTTAAAAGAAGCGATCAAATGGTTAGGAAGTATAAGATTATCCAATGTGTCTATCGAACTTGATTGTAAGGAAGTGGTTGACGACATGGTTAGGACGCTCAACACCAACACCGTTTTTGGCGCCACCATCGACATCTGTAAAGCTTCAATTAGCATATATCAAAACTTTAAGTTTAATCAGGATACAAGCAAATAGCCTTGCACATTTGTTAGCACGTGCGGCTTTATCTTATGCTACTTCCCAAGTTCATGATCTTATACCATCTTATATTGAGACCAATATCATCAATGAAATGAGTTAAATTTGTTTTTATCAACAAAAAAGAAAAATAGTATAGATTTGATTGGCTTTGTCACAATCACTTGGCAAAAAAAAAACTTAGCATAAGAAAATAGAGTAATAATTATCCTGAGTGTCCCAAATAGAGTAAAAAAAACTTAGCATAAGCAAACAGTTCTGAATCTTCTCAAGACATTACGAAATTTGAAACATTTGAAAACTTTTTTATTTGTTGCTTGCATTGAGTTAAGGATTTGGAGAAAAAAATAAAAATTTCTACGTGTTTAGAGAGAGAATGTCCCCCTTCTCTCTAAACTTAAACTTAGCGTGAGTTCCCATCTTTCTCTTCCCTTATTTTTTAGGGTTTGTGGCTTGTTTTCTCCCCAGTTTTTTCTTAGAGTAACTCCAATGGGAATTCTTCACCGTTTTTCCAGCATGACAAATGCAACATACAAATTGAATATCAGTGAAGTTGTCCAGCCTGAAAATTTGTTGCAGTGTAATGCAACGTTCTTCAAACTAAAGAAATAATAAACTAATAACAAAACTGTTTTCTTTCACTTTATTTTTTAATTTTTTTTAAATAATTTATTTGTTTACAAATTTTATATATAATCTTTATTATATATTAACAGTTTTATAAATAATTGTTTTCTTTAATAAAGTTAATTTTCTTTAACACTTTTCTAATTTCTTTTACTTTAATTATTTTAATTATTGTTATAAAATTTAAGTTTAATTAGATTTATTTATTTATTTTATTATATATTAAGTTTGATTAATTTATGTGATGTTATTTATTTTTAATATTTTTAATTATATGTCATGTATTTGAAATTAATTTTAATTATCATTTTAAATTTTATATTTAATTTTAATTTGATTTATATTATATTAATTTAAATTTAAATAATTATTTTGAATAAAATATAATTTAATATGAATAAAATATTAATATATAAAGTAAAGATGTGAGACGTAATTTGAGTTCTTTAGAGTTGAACCATTGGAGTGAAAATTGAATGAATTGCTTCAAGATGACGTGGCTTAATAGGTCCCACAAAAAACCAAAAATTGGGTTGCACCATTGGAGGTACTCTTGTGGTTTTTCCCCATTTTTTGTGGTTTTCTAGTAATCAAGTGTTACCTTGTGGTCTATTCTTTAGGGTATAGTTATTATTAGTTTCTGGTTGATAGATCTTGGAGTTGGGTCGGATGGATAGATGGAAGAACATCAAATTTTTAGAGCAGGAAGAGGAAGGGATTATAGCGGAGCCAGAAGAGGTTTGTGGGGAGGAGTACTTTCAGCGGACCCTTGCCGGGAAACTTTGGACGGAGAGTAGCTTAAATGTTCGAGCTTTTGATGAGTGCTAAATTATTGTGAATTTGAGTGTGAATAATTAGCACTCATCGATTTATTTTGTTTGCTTTTTATCAATAAACCTCAACTTTAGTGTATATTCGGTATAATTTACGTTATAGTGTATTTATTGCGTTATTGTGTAAATATTATTGAGTTTAATTGATTTTATCTGATTTTTATAGGTATCCAAGCATTGATATTTAGGCATTGTTATATAGAGCATTAAATAAGCTTTCGAACGCTTCCGACCGGGCGCAAATCAGAGCTATGGTTCAAAAGTTATGGCCGAAACAGTGCAGAATGATGTGCTGGGTTTTTCAACTTTCTGTCATCCGTCGCCGGGCGACGCTTTTGGTCGCCGGGTGACTCTAGGCGAGCTGTAGCGTAGGAAAAACACTATTTTGATCGTCGGATGATGCTTTTTGATCGTCGGGCAATGCTGGACAGTCAGAAATACGTATTTAGGTGTAAAAATACATTTTTTATATGGTTTTGGGTATTTTTGATCCCAACTTCATCAACCTTCATTTTTTAATAGGATTAGCTTAGAAAACAACATTGAAGCTTGTATACGGATGATCTAGGATGGATTGCTCATCAATCGGCACTGACAAACCGGTAGATTTGTGGTTCATTTCTCTTCCTCTTTGTGTATTCTTTGTGTGTTGAGTTTGTACATGTATTTACTCTGAACTTTTATATATATATATATATATATATATATATATATATATATATATATATATATATATATATATATATATATATATATATATATTTGTCCCCCATGGTATTATATTAAACTTGCTTTACAAAATTTTGTTGATTGTTGTCTTAGATTTTTGTTTTGTGCTAGGCATTTAAGTTGTTATAGACATATACTGCTTAGATTCTTATCTAGGATGATTATTTGTTAGTTTCTAGAGATAGATTTAGAGCTGACATCTACTTGGGTATCAGAGCTTAATGCCTCTGTGTGGTTATGTTATACTGAGAGATCATCAGTGTGATTACATAGTTGTCTTCTGTGTTGTTGAGGAGGTAGAGAGATCATTTCCTTGGTGATGCAGTCGGTCTATCAATTTGGGTTAGAAATGACTTAGATTGTGAGTGATACGTAATTACATTGATGAGTATTGTTAGGTTGAATGTAACTGGTCGATAGATTTAAGTTTGTGATGAGTAGATTATATGCAGTCTTGATAAGTTCTTCCTTAATTTTTACTTTTGCTTACATTTATTTTCTGTTGATAACATTTTCTTTACAAACCCATTTATCCTCAAACTCATTAACGAGAGATTTGTCGAACGACAACTCAATAACCAATTTCTGTGGATATGATAAATTCTCGGATAAATATTTCCAAAACTTTTGTTGCTTGCCGCTACACCGCTTCCAGCAAAATGGCGTTGTTGTCGGAGATTGGTTCTATTGTTTTCGCATTGCGATAATTCTTTTGTTTTTGAATTTTGTAATTAATGTATATGTTGTATATAAATTGTACATTAACTTGTATATGATACTTATACATATATGTGTTTTTCTTTGTTTTTACGTATTGTTGTGAATTGTCTCGTTTTCATAACGTTTGTTGTGTGATTGTTAGGACACTTTCTTTAGGTTTGTGCAGTGTGACAATATCATGGCATGATGAGAGGAGGTTACTAGCTTGCACCATAAAAGCGTCGAGCTTACGACGTAAAACAAGCATGTTTGTTTGTATTTGTTTATGTGTGTGGTGATTTATGCTTTAACAAGTTGAAACAAGGAAATGCTATGAATTTCAAATCTTCATTTTTCAACTCGTTAATTCATTTTCACCCGATTTTCATATCGTTATTTGTATTTTTTTTGTTATGTCAATTTGTATTTTTCAAAAGTTTATCGTGTTTAGCTTAAGGAGTTTTGTTCGTTGTATATATTGTAAATTTTGTACATTGAAATTTTGTAGGAGTATTATTTTTCTAATTCTTTTGTTATTGTTTGCACTCAAGTTTTGGTTCGATAACTTGTAAAATATTGAGGTGATTTGTCAAATTTGATCGTTTCAACTTGCGAATGTGTGTTAATGATTTTGTTAAAGTTTTGTACACGTTCGAGGTATGTGTTTATCGCTTTCTATACTTTAGCATATTCATGATACTTAGACTTTTTACAATTTTTATGCCATTCATTCTTTTGTATACTTGTTCGTTTGTGAATCACTTTAGTTCCTACCCTTTTTGTGAGGTAGCTTTCCATTGTTCACATATGTTGGAGACCATAATTCTTGTTTTAACTGGATTTATTATGCTTAATCTTTTGTTTGTGTTGATTGTATGAAAGCTTGAACATGATCAAGTCATTTTTTTTGTTTCATTTTGAGCACAACTACCTTGGCCAAATAAGTCAATTCACCTTGTGAGTATGTGATCATTAGTATCCCCTTTGAGCTTTTTGTCGATATTCATGTTGTATTTTCTAAATGCTTGTCTATGAGTGTTTAGTTTCCCTTTTTGCATGGATATTGAAATTTGGGATGAAGAAGAAGTTTGATTGAAATTTTATTGTTTGAAATATTGTGGAAGTAATTACTCCCTTAGGTTTAGGCAAGTTTTTGTTTCGATTAGCTTTAGGACTTATCACTTGTTTGTTAACCAAGCCACATTACAACCTTGAAAAGCCCTTGAGATTCTTTCTTTTATATTTTCGATGTAAATTTTTGGATGAATGTATAATTTAGTCTATTGTTTGCTAGATTGTTAGATGAGTGAAAATACCCCATTTCTGTGTGTTTTTCATCTACCGATGATTGTGTTTGCTAGGTGTGATTCATTTGTGAATTAGTATTTTTTTTAGAATGTTTGGCATAATTTTTGTATTTAACATTTGTTTTGTGTTTATGTTATAATCGTAGTTTAATGGTAAGTGTTTACTTTGTGTGTATTGTTTTTCATTTGAACCATTGTATTTGTTTTCTGTTTTTAAAACCTGTTGATTCGTGATTCTTTGATTATCGTCTTTTGCTTCTTTAAGTTTATTTGACTTTGTTTGAGGACAAACAATATTTTAAGTTGGGGAGAGTTTGATGAGTGCTAAATTGTTGTTAATTTGAGTGTGAATAATTAGCACTCATCGGCTTAATTCGTTTACTTTTTGTCAATAAACCTCAACTTTAGTGTATATTCGGTATAGTTTATGTTATAGTGTATTTATTACGTTATTGTGTAAATATTATTGAGTTTAATTGATTTTATCTCATTTTTGTAGGTATCCAATCATTGATATTTAGGCATTGTTAGATAGAGCATTGGATAAGCTTTTCAACCCTTTTGATCGTGCGCGAATTGGAGTTACAGTTCAAAAGTTATGGCCGAAACAATGTAGAATGTTGTGCTGGTTTTTCAACTTTCTGTCATCCTTCGTGGGCGATGCTTTTTGGTCGTTGGTCGTTGGGCGATGCTTTTGGGTTAGAAATTACTTAGGTTGTGAGTGATACGTAGTGACATTGATGAATATTGTTAGGTTGAATATAACGGGTCGATAGATTTAAGTCTGTGATGAGTAGAATATATGCAGAATGCAGATTTGATAAGTTCTTCCTTAGTTTTTACTTTTGTTTACATTTATTTTCTGTTGATAACATTTTCTTTACAAACCCATTTATTCATAAATTCATTAATGAGAAATTTATCGAACGACAACTCAATAACCAATCTCTGTGTACACTATAAATTCCCGGATAAATATTTCCAAAACTTTTGTTGCTTGCTACTACCCCACTTCCAGCAGCTTTCAAAAGTACAATTCTGAATGCTTGGAAGTTGAAGAATACCGTGGAGATACAAGATCTGAGAAAAAACCTGTTCCTTTTCAAGTTTACTACAAAAAAGGATATGGAGTATATCTTGAAGAGCGGACCTTGGAGTTTTTGACAGAGCTTTGTTGATACTGGAAAGGGTATTAGGGGAAGAACAACCCTCAGAGTTAAACATTCATTTTGGTACTTTCTAGGTCAGAATATACGAGCTTCCTTTAATGCTAAGATCTGAAGCGATGGTGAGAAAATTGGGAAACATCATTAGAGAGTTTGAGGATATTGACTAGAAGGAAGGCCACCGAAATGGCAGATTTCTTAGAATAAAAGTGAAGATGGATCTGAAGAAACCCCTTAAGAAGGGAACAATGGTGAAGTTTAAAGAAAAGAACCTGAGAGTCCACTTCAAATATGAGAGATTACCTACCTTCTATTTTGTGTGTGGTCGCGTTGGGCATCAGTTGAAGGATTGTGAGACTTTAGAAGATCCGAATGAAGAAGGATTCAAAAAAATTAAAGAACAAGAGATTTCGTTTGGTCAATGGCTGCGAGCCTCACCTCTTCCAAAGATTGTTGAAGACCATAAGAAGATGGAGACTAGCTCTGAAAATTGCAGTAAAAATCTGTTTAATGCTTCGTCTAGGCAAAGCAGGTTTGAATCAAAAGGAAATGAGAGAGCTGAAGAACCAGAAGTTCAACAACAAAAGCAAAGTGAAGGTTCAAAGGAAGTATCAAGAGGATCGAAGTTAGCAGAGAAAGGGGGAACACTCGACATTGAAAAGGTGGCAGAGTCATTTGGAGCAGTGGCGTTAACAACAGAGATGGTGGGAAGAAATACAGGCGTCGCTAGGAAGAAATGGACTAGAAAGAGAGGCAATCAGAAGAAGGTGGGGCCAGCCAACAAAGGAGGAGAGAGAGGTTTAAAAGGGGCTAAAATACAGTTGATAGATGTAATGGTTATTGAAGGTTCCATTGATGATTGCAGAAATGGGGAAAAGAAGCGGAAACAAAGTATGGCAGAGGAAGATACAAACAAATTGGGACCAGTGGTGGTGTTAGACACCCAACACCGCCTACAACAATGAAACTCGTAAGTTGGAACTGTAGGGGTTTGGGGAATCCCCGAGCAGTTCGAGCCTTTTCAAGGATCACCCGAAAAGAAAATCCCTCTCTTATCATGGAATCCTGTCTCAAGGAGCAGGAGTTTGGTATGGTTAAGCAGAATTGTGGCTTTGATCATGTGTTCTCAGTGGGTGTCGAGGTGAAGGGAGAGTGTGTGCAGGAGGTATTGCGATAATGTGGAGGGACTCTTTAAAATTTACAGTCATCAATTACTCTAATAACCATATAAATATGGAGATTATTGATGATGAAGGAGAAGATCTGTGGATGTTAACAGGGCTGTATGGTTTTCCGGAAGATGTTAACAAAAGGAAGACATGGAAGTTGTTGAAAGGGATGAAGGTGAAAAACAATGTGAGGTGGTTATGTGTTGGGGATTATAATGATATTCTGGCTGAGAATATGAAGAAAGGGGGTTAGCAGAATTGTTGGTCAAATGAATTGGGGCAGAGAGACTATGGCTGAGTGTGGTTTACAAGATTTGGGTTTCGACGGCTACCCGTTTACGTGGACCAATGGGCGCCAGGGGCAGAACAATATTCAATGTAGATTGGATAGAATTTTTGCTAATGAGGCTTGTGTTGCGAGATTCCATCCTATCAAGGTGACACACCTTTCATGTTTTGGCTCTGATCATGCGACGATTAGAGTTGTGTTGGAGGGTGAATTAAGTGAAGAAGAAAACAAAAATAGGTATATTTTCAGGTTCGAAGATATATGGGCGAGGGATGAAATATGTGAAGGATTGATGAAACAGAACTGGAGGGGGAGTGGTCTTACTGGCTACAAAAAAGTTCTAGTTGTGTCGGAAATTATGGAGGAATTCAAGGAGTATAGGTGCGGGAACATGCATAAGGACCTCATCCGAATGTAAAATATGTTGTAGGAGGATGCTAATTGGGACAATAGTGAGGACAATATAAGGAAGTATAAAGCTCTTGAGAACCAAAGGCAAAATCTCCTGAAGGTGGAGGAGATTATATGGAGGCAGCGCAATAGGGCTCTGTGGTTACAGGAATGTGACAAAAACACGAAATTTTTCCATGGAAAAGCGGATCAAAGGAGAAGGGTGAATAGAATTAGCAAACTGAAGGATGATGACGGTCGATGGTGGAGAGGAATAATGCATTGTGAGAGAATTCTTACCAAGTATTTCAAAGATATTTTCTCGTCCTCAAACCCGAGTGACATTATGGAAATATGTCTGCTGTGAAGGATAAACTCAGTTTGGATAACAAGGAGTGGTGTGGGAGAGACTTTAAGGAGACATAAGTTGAGGAAGCGCTTTTCCAAATGCACCCTTTGAAAGCCCCTGGACCGTATGGGCTTCCTAGCCTCTTCTTTCAAAAGTATTGGCATGTGGTGGGTAAGAAGGTGAAGAAGATGGTACTTGCTATCCTTAATGATAAGAATGACCCGAAGAAGATGAACAAAACCTTCATTGTTCTCATCCTTAAATGCAAAAACCCAAAGTCTCTGAAAGAGTTTAGACCAATTAGCTTGTGCAATGTGGTGATGCAGATTGTGTCGAAAACGATTGCAAACAGACTGAAAGCGGTTCTTCCTGAAATTATTGATGAAGAGAAGCGCGCCTTTGTGAAAGGGCGTTTGACCACCGACAATGCCTTAGTAGCGATGGAGTGTTTTCATTGGATGAAGAAGAAGACAAAGGGCAAGAAAGTCGTGATGGCTCTTAAGCTGGATATGGAAAAAGAATATGATAGATTAGAGTGGAGCTTTGTTGTTGGAGTTCTCGATTCTATGGGATTCCCAGAGAAATTTGTAAAGCTGATCTATTCTTGCATATCTTCGGTGTTGTTCCAAATCCTGCTCAATGGGTGTCCTAGTAACTCTTTTATTCCGGAGAGAGGACTCCGACAAGAGATCCTTTATCCCCTTACATGTTTGTTTTGTGTGCAGATGTTTTTTCTAGATTGATTAAGGAGGCTGTTGATAACCAAACCATTCACGGTATTTGTGTTGCTAGAATAGCTCCCTGCATCTCTCATTTGTTCTTTGCGGATGACAATATTCTGTTCTCTAGAGCCAGTCCTAAGAAATGTGAGAAAATTATTGAGATCCTTGCCAAATACCAGAGAGCTTCGGACTAGATGGTTAACTTTGACAAGTCGGAAGCCTTCTTTAGTCGAAATATGCGGGAAGAAGTCAAACAAATGATCCATAATAGGATGGGAGTAAAGACTGTTGTATCTCATTCGAGGTATTTGGGTTTTTCAATTGTGATTGGAAGATCCAAGAAGAAGGTGTTTTCGCTTATGGTGGAGCGCATTTGGAAGAAGGTCAAAGGTTGGAAGGAAGGTTTCCTCTCAAGAGCTGGGAAAGAAGTCCTCATTAAAGCTGTGGCGCAGGTATTTCCTTCTTACATTGTGAGCTGTTATAGAATTCCAACTGAAGTGTGCAATGAAATAGAGAGGATTCTAGCTAAGTTCTGGTGGGGAGCAAAGGACGGCGAACGGAAGATCCACTGGTTGAGTTGGGAGAACTTGGCGAAAGCAAAGTGTTTTGGGGGGTATTGGTTTTAGGGGATTTGCAGATTTTAATTTGAGTCTCTTGGGAAAGCACTTTTGGAGGCTTCAAAGAGATGAAGGGTCCCTGTTGGGGAGAGTAGATATTTTTCAAACTACAATATTCTCGAGGCAAAAGTGGGTTATGCTCCAAACTACGCTTGGAGAAGTGTGTTTGCTGCTAAGGAGTTGGTGATGGAAGGGTCTAGATGGAGAATTGGCGATGGATCGAAGGTTTATGTGTGGAAGGACAATTGGATTCCAAGTAACAGTGGGTTCAAATGCCTAAGTGATCCCAAAGATGCTGACTTGGGGATGAAAGTTTGTGACCTCATTATTCATGAGTTGGGTTGCTGGAACAGAGAATTAGTGGAAAACATCTTCAGGCCGGGGGAGGCAAAATAAATCATGAGCATTCCTTTATCGTTGAGAAGGTTGGATGATGAGAAGATTTGGCATGGTGAAGCGGATGGTGACTATTCGGTTAAATCTGCTTACAGATTAATTACTAATAAAATTGCTGCCAGCAGAAATGGTTTGTCGGTTCAGTCTCAGATTGCCTTTTGGAAGAAGCTTTGACGCATTCCCATTCATGTCTGCATTAAGAATTTTATGTGGAGGCTGTGCAAGAATATTCTCCCAATTAAATGTAATTTGATCAAGAGAGGATGTGGAATTGAGACTTTATGTCCGTTTTGCAGTGATTTCCCTGAATCAGCTCATCACATTTTTATGCACTGTCGTTTTGCGAAGTTAGTCTGGTTCGCGTTGCCGATGGGGATAAGGATTCCTGAAAATCTGGCCTTAGTTGAATGGGTGGAATCAATTTTGGATTGTGCTGAACCTTCTTTGGGACCGGTTGTGTGCACCACTTTATGGAAACTTTGACATGTAAGGAACTCTAAGGTTTTTGACAACAAGGAGGTGACCCCAAAGAACCTTACGCAGGAATCAGTGGAGCATTCAAGAGAGTTCGCGAGGCTTGCGGTGAAGCCGTGCAGCATGAATACAAGGTTGTTTGTGCAGGAAGATGATAACCAAGCAAAGGATACGTTTCTGGTTTTTGTGGATGCAGGATGTTTCGTTGAAGGCTTTCTCGTGCTGGGATGTGTCATTAAGGACATCAATAACAAGGTTGTATTATCGACATGCAAAAAAGTTGACTCTAACACATGTCCTTTGGTGGATGAAGCGATGATGTTGAGATGGACTCTACAGCTTGCGAGAGACGTTGACTTTGTACCCCTTCCTGTGTTGTGTGTTTAATGGAATTGGGTTGGATATAAAAAAAAAGGATTTGGAGAAACCATAGAATTCATTAAGAGAAGTATCAAGAGCAACGATTGAATTTATTCTATAAATCAATTATTTCTAGTTTCTAGCTATATCTCCTATATTATTATAATCACATAGTGCCAATAAGAATTGAACACAATCAAGTTATCGGAGGTCGTTCTAACCGAATATAATCATACATAACTCCTTGAAAAGGATTAATCGCTCTTGACTGCTTCAAATAGATGATATTTTGTCCTTTCACAAGAAGATAACTTGGAACATCAATGCTAAACAACCAATACAATCCATGAATTCCATGTCTTGCTATGGCATTGTCTCCTCCAAACCGCCCTGTCGCAAAGTGAGGTGGTTCTACGCTAGCGTCATTGAAACGAACCTGAAAATTTAATCCAATCAAAACAACTTCATGCATATAAAGTTATTTTAATCTGAAATCAACAAAACTTGAAATGACGTACCTCTAAGTTTGCATCAGCAGCACTAGCTAAGGCTAGTTGTAATGTATAGTTTCCAATGATTATGTCATTTTGATGTTCAAATATAATCTGCCATGTCGTTGGTTCATATGTTTTGTTTTCTGTTATTCTGTTTACAATACAATTTAGAATCAAAATTCTTTGAAATTTAGTAACAATATAGTTCTAAACAAAAACATTATGGTTATTATTATTACCTTGTAACTTGAGCATAAAACCAATCTATATTCTTGTCAATACCCACAGTGTAAACAAGATCACCATTTGAATATATATCACTGTAACGTTCCCATAATCCATATTGTCTAAACCTGTAAAATGTAAAATATTTGAAATTAATAGGATGCAAAGTTTAAGCTTAAGATATGTTTTAGTTTTATAAAATTCACGATTTTTGAACTAACTAACTTGTCTCTGCGTTGTTCGGAGTATAATTTGTTCAAAAGAGTAGGGTAAGGGTCTGGAACGTGAAATTCTAAAGCCAATCGATCTGGGAATCCGATTTCCCAAATGGTTGGTCCATTTCTTGGAGGATTGTATACAAGTGAATTCAAGTTTATGACTCCTCCTACAAATTCAAACAAGTAATTGTTTAATCATCTAAATTATAATTAGATTTTGTGCTAAGTTAATCTACAAGAGAGTAAAAGAAATTTTTTACCAGGGGTGATGGTGATTGTAGAATTAGATTTATAATCACCAATGAATCCAGGGACCCAACCATACAAACTATAGTTGCCTGGCACAATGTTAGTTATTTTGAAGTATCCCTTCGCATTTGCTCGAGTCCAAAATTGATAATCCTGTTAATTGCATAAAATCATTTTAGATGTATCAGAATCCGAAATCAAGAAAACACGAGTTTTATTCGAAGATATTTAATGACAGATTTGAAAATTAAATCAAAATTTCACATAAAATACTCTAACATAAATTTGAAAAATGTTATATAAATACATACTTTACTTTCTCTCTGCCATGATCCTGCTTCTCCAGGCAAAGCTAAACCAACAAAAGCATTAGTATATTGAAATCTCCCTCCTTTGTAGTACCTATTGAAGCAATCAAATAAAGAAACATTATATGAATATTTATATTACTTGCTTTTATGAAATCAAATTCATAAATAAATAAATAAACAAAATGTACCTATCTTGTACTAGTAATCTTCCAAACACTGTTCCTCTTTGATTGGGTGGAAAATAATCTTGTGATTTAGCAAAATCATAAGGCCAACTTTGAACTTGTTTGGATAACTAATTAAATGTTTAAAGAAACTAATTAAAAATTATTTGTAATTAACATAATAAGCAATTAAACAATGTGGTTGGATTAACTATAGTACCTGTTTCACAGCATCTGACCAAAGGGTTGAATTATCATTTTGACTTGAATCAGTGTTGAGATAAACAAAAACAGGACCAAAAACCTTTTTATAAGTTTCACCTTCTTCAAATGCCATTGTTACTTCCTTTCCAGCATAGTGTGTACTCACAAACATCTATACAAAAACAAAATATCCAAATTATTTGACTGAATCCGATATCTTTAAGTTGGACATTAGTATCAGAATTCGAACACAAGTGAATAGAAGTTGAGACATACCGAAAGAGTGATGGGCCCAACATGAGAAGTAAGATCTTGCTTAATGGGCCCACCGTTACGAAACTCATTACTTGGTGTTATCAACCAAAAGCCCACGGGTATATCCGAATCAAAATTAATCCATCCATGAACATTGTTATTTGTGTTTTCACACGAGTATTGATATTTATCATCCACCTGATCCCAACAGAATCATAACATACTTATTCACGTGCATTGCATCAACAGAAAAAGCCAAATTAAAAAAAAGAAGTTGTTTTTCACTTACTTCTCCTCTAAATTGTGGATCAATTGGTTTAGTTAATAGAACAGCTTCTGGATAAGCTAAAATTTGACCTGTTAGTCGATCTTTCATTGCTGGCATGCTTCTTTGCCTTGTATCAGATATTGCCATGTACTTAAACCTGTCTCATTCATTTTCCATTTAGTAAATATTTTATAAATTTAATGAGATCAATATTAAATTTTAATCAATAAAAAAATTGTATTAAACAATTTTACTTACATGTCTTTATTGAGTTTGTAAACATATCTAATTTGATCAACTTCAACTGCTGGCATCCCTTCGGGTCGATCGAATATCACATACGAATAAAATCCAGAATCACCACTTCTAAAAATGTATCTGCATATATATAAATTTGTTTCATGCACCATTAATATATATATATATATATATATATATATATATATATATATATATATATATATATATATATATATATATATATATATATATATATATATATATATATATATATATATATATATATATATATATATATATATATATATATATATATATATATATATATATATTTTAATTTTTTTTTCTAACAAAATTTGTTCTAAAATTGTAACATGACATTAAATAATTCACCTTTTGTCTATGTTTATAGGAACATCTGTGTCAATCATAGAAGATGTCCATACTCTTACAAATGAAATCTCCACCATATTCTCATCAGCTGTAATAATTGAAAAGTTTGTTCCATGGATTCTGCAGCATGGTTACAATTAACAATTAATCTTTTTGTTTAAGTAGGCTAATTAATAATTAATCTATTAAATATAAACTTAAGAGCTGAAATCATACTTTAGATCAATAAATTTATACTTTAAAATAATGATTTTAGTTTAAAATATCTATAAAATATAAACGTGACAAAATATATTTGAATGTAGATATAAAAAATAAATAAGAAAATATTATACCTCGAGAAATTACCACTTTTTCCTGGTTTATTCCAAACAACGTCGAAGTATCTATAATATAAAATTAACTAACACGTTAAATTCAGGTAGTTAAACAATCACATAAATCCTTAATCAAAATAAAAGTTTATAGATCATTATTTAATAATCATAACAAGTTATTTATATAAAAAAAAACTTTATTATTTAAACCCAAAATTGAATTGACTAGTTTCAAATGAAGTAGGAACATACCCTCTATCTTCTTCTTCATTTTCAGATTCAAGAATGTTGTCAATTCCATTATATGATATTTGAATGATGTACCCCTCAGGTCTTGACAAATTCACAGAAACAATGCCATTGTCAACAACCAACTGAAAAAAATTGAAAGTCAAAGAATATTTCTTAAAAGCTAAAATACCAAACGGAGAAAAAAAACTAATTAATCAATTATTTTATTTTAATTTTAAATTTTTAATAATTAAATTGTAGCAAAACAAAAGACAGCTTATGTCACCTGTCGTTGGTCATCTGTATTCAACTTAACTACAGATGTTGATGTTCCAAGGCCATTGACCTTCTTTGAACCTCCTCTGTATATAAAAATAATATCCTTGGTAAGACAAAATTTAATGAAAATAAAAATGCAATAATAACTATTATAAGTATACTAATTAAATATTCTTAAAATATATTTTAGACGAAAAACTCATACTCATAATGTGGTATCAGAGTTTAAACTCTAATAATAACATTTAAACTCCCATAATTATGTTGAACTTAACAATTATGACTTTGTCTATTAGAATTAAGCTAGAATTTGCTAATAGATTTTATTTTCTTAAAAAAAAAAAGAAGTGAATTTAGTGAAATGGAAGAGAGAAATAATGGAAGAAACGCGGAAATGTAATTTGTTATAAAAGGTACGTGAGTCTTGAAAAAGTAGGGTAAGTAAAAAAAGTTATTTTTTGTTGGATTGAGAAATGACTTATTCAATTCCATGTGTCAACTTATAAAGTAAGTATACCTATGTAAGTTTTATACATCATGCTTTTCTAAAATGAGAAATTAAATTTAAAATTTTAATAATTGATATTTTTTATGAATCAGATATTCTCTATATGCACTTATTCCTCAATCAGAAAAAAGATTAAAATTAAAATTTTATATTATATTGATTTACATAAATTAAAGTGGGAGAGGACTAAAAATTAATAAAAATTTAATAATTTAATAATTTATAATATATAAACTTGCACAACATTCTTTAGATGAACGGTGTTATTTAATTGATATTTGTTAGTTGAATCAAAAACTTACATAAATATATCTGATTTTATTTTATTACTTTTTATAGGATTTTATATACTTAAATTATAAAATATGACACTTTTATTAAATTAACATTATAGGTAATTGGTAGTATGTTTCTCAAATCTAGTACCAGTATAATGTTTTGATAGGAGTGCACTTGGGAAAAATTAATACTAATTAATATGTATTTCAAAAAAGTAAAAAAAAAAAAATCATTTATTTTATAAAATAACACTAGTGAAACTTTAGATTTGTCTCGCAAAAAGTGAGGTGAAACAAACATGGATTCTTTCAGTTTTAAAGATTAAAAAAATTGTAAATTTTTTTATTAATCATCTGTGTTTGAAAAAAAAATTGAATGAGATGAAATAAATATATATACGATATGGATCTATAACCTTAATCTGTTATAAAATAAAAAAAATCAGATAAAAATATTTTTCGGACAAACCATTTTGCCACCTTAACTAATTAAAAAAAAAATTAAATTTGATGCATAAAAAGATTTTAATTTGAGTTGGTATGATCATAGATGATACAGTATAAGTGTAGCATGTTAAAACCATTTTGCAAGTAAATATGATTCAAGAGAAAGAGGAAGACATGTGAAACTAGTAGTGTCAGAAAATGATGGATGAAAGAATAAATTCTTTTCACCACAACAATGGCTAACTTGCAAAATGTCTTTTCAATTGCCATAAAGTGAATCCACACAATTTAACAAAACAACAATAGCTTCAAAAATCAACCAAACATAAAAAGATAATAGTAAATTATTAAAGACATGAAATTCTTAAGTTCTCATGTGAGAAGAAACACAAAGGACAACCAAACCGTGACTCTTTTTGTTTTTTCTTAAAAACCTTTTTTTTTAACTTTTCATGAAAAGAATAAAAACAACAAAACAAACATAGAATGTTGTTCTTTTTAATTCATCATGCTTCTTTTTCCTTAATATTTTCTCTGACACACTAAAAGATAAACGCATATACAAAATATTTTCAATGCTATATAGCCAAAACAAGAACCAAAACATTAGAAAGAGGAAGAAGAAAAACCTTAATGTCTTCTCAGAAGAACAAGTACATAGCAAGAAACATAGCTGCAAAATCACTCCAAGCCACTTCTTCTTACTACTCAACACATTCATCATCTTCATCATTTCTTAATCTACAAAATAAAAATTAGAAGCAGAAAATAATTAAACAATGATAAAATGAGATGTTATAAAAGAAATTATGAAAAGCAAGGAGGAACCTTATAAAACCATAGGAGATGAAAAAGACCAAGAGATTATATTTTGTTTGTCCTATGAATTGTTTGTGTGATTCTTTTCTCTCTCTGTCGTTGTTAGTACATTGTGTTTAGAACCTTAAATGTGGACCGTATTATATTTTAAAAACTTCCTAGTACATAATGGTGAGTTAATGACCTTTATATACAACCGAAACTCAATGGCCAAGTCTATATAACTTCACTTTCATGTTAATATAAACTTTCAACTTTTTCTTTTTATTTTCTTTGGTCTAAATGTGTTTGGCAAACCCCTGCCCATCAATTTCCACCATTTCAAGTTAAGGAAAATCTTTCCTTTAAAGTAGAACATGGTCCACTTTGAAGGGTATATCATTTTAGATTAACTTATATAACTTATATAATAATAATAATAATAATAATAATAATAATAATAATAATAATAATAATAATAAATGTTTTTGGAATACTCGTTAAGAGTTTAAAAATATATTTTTTTATAGAAATATTTGTATTTAATGCATTAGAAATTAAAATAGTTGACTTTTTATGGAATAAAAATATATGTTTTTTAGGAAATATTTGTATTCAATGAATTTAAAATTGAAATAATTTATTTATTTATTTAAATTTTTATAGAATCTTTATATAACCCATATTAATAACTAATGTTATCATATAAAACTAGCATAATTTTGAGCTAAACAAACATAGTCAAACATCAAGAATATCCTAAAGAAGCGTTATGGTCATTTCAATTATTAAGACATGACTAGCCTAACATACTTAGTGATCTAAATCAAATGTAACATACTTAGCGTTATGGTCAATCCTAATTTAATTTAGTTTTAGAATTAATATTTTATCAAATATTTCCCAATAAAAAATATAAAAACATATCATATGAGAATGAATGCTATCTTTTTATAAAAATGAATCTGGAATATTGAATTAAAGTATATTTTTAAAATTGATTATTAAATTCTTTTTATGTTAAAAGCTTCTGATTTTTTTTTTGACACATGATTTATTGAAAATATGATTTAATTTCAATATTTTTTTTTTAAAAGAGATGATTGTTATTCATTCTCATATTCTCATATAACTTATACATTATAATATATATGTCCTCTAAAAAAATCAAAAATCAAAATTGGTAATTGTTTATTTTGGATAAAAAGTATACAAATACTAGTGTTGTATTTGGAAGCCTCATAAGGTAACTTTATTTAAAAGAAATTCTTTTAAAGTATTAAAGTAAGAGTTTAGGTTCTCTTATATTTTGATTTTGAGATCTTTGATATTAAGACACTTGACATAAATAAACTTTATAAAATAAAACATTAAAATTTTGTATTCTCAATGATTCTCTTATATGATTTATAACACCAGAATTTGAATCATCTCCGTCTATATTCCTCTCAATCTCCCTCAATCTTACCTCTTAACCATTAATTAATTTATTCAATGATGAAATGATAAATGCGAAAACATATTAGAATAAATCATTCCTCTCAATCTCCCTCAATCTTACCTCTTAACCATTAATTTATTTATTCAACGATGAAATGATAAAAGTGAAAATATATTAGAATAAAATATTTTTTAAAAGAAAGATATCTTTAATTAATTAATTAATTAATTAACATGATGGATAATCTTATTCTAAAAGTAAATTATTAAAACTTACTTCACATCTTAGAGTGTGTGTTTCAAGGTTACAAAATGTGACTATGAAAATACAATATTTTCATATTTGATATAAGTTTTAAAAAATTATTCTAAATAATATTATTTACTAATAGATTCTCTATTCTAATTCTGAGACATAAAAGGGGAAATATCATATTTTCATAGGAATAAATTCAATCAATTCTAAATTTTCACTATCACTCCTATTAATTACTATTATTTTTTATTTTTTTATAATTTTAAATTAAACAAATTTTATAATTATTTCTAATAATCTAAATTCCTACCAAATACATATATTAGAACAATATTCCCAAAAATAATAATCTTGAGAATATTATTTTTAAAATTGTAATTTTAAATCATGAAACAAACACATCATTAACCATTAATTCTTTTAAATTCAATGCCTCAAAACAATAAGTTAATTTTCTTTTGTATATTTTGTTATTTAGTGTTTTTAGCCTTTAGATTAAAAGGAATTAATTATTAAAATGTAAAATAAATTTTAATAATTTAATCATTGAGTAAGAATATCTCTTCTTATTAATTAAATATTATATATATTTTTTCTAAATAAATAAATCATAATAAACAGCATATTTTGTTAACATAATTAACAATTAAATATAGTAATTGATTAAAATTTTGAATTTTTTAATATATAAAGCACACTCAAAGATCTATTTTTTATTTTAAAACATAATTAACAATACTAACTCATTTAAATTTTAAATTTTTTCGATATATATAAATAGTCAGAAATAAACTATTTAAAAAAAACAATTAAGAAAAATGTTTAATAATTGATTAAATTTTTTTTCAGTTAATAAAGAAAATTCAAAGAATTTATTTTTTTTCTCTATAATATTAACCATGCTTATAGATTACAAATTTAGATTAACTGATTAAATTTTCTATTTTTTAGATATATAAAGTATACGAAATAATATTTTGTTAATATAATCAACAAATAAATGTACTAATATATTAAAAATTAGTTTTTATATATATATAATAGATACTCTTAAATATTTTTTATTCTAAAAAAACAATTCACAATACTTAATGATTTAAAATTTGACTTTTTTTCGAGGTATATAACAATTAACTTTGTTTTATTCTAAGAAGTAATCTATTTTTTAAAACACAATTAACAATTAATTTTGTTATTTACTTATATATTAAAAAATAAGTAAATAAGAAATCTTTTTTCAACAAGTAATTATTTACTTATATATTTTAAAAAATAAGTAAATAAGTAATGTTTAAATAAATGTAACTTATATGTTTACTTTATTTTTGTTAGTTATTTCTATTTAAAAAGTTAATTAATTATTTATTTTATTTTCTATTTAATTATTATTTAATGTATTTCTATATAATCATTTATATTTAGAATTTAAATTTTATTTATTTTATTTTTAAATTTAAATTTGATATTATTTGAAATAAGTTAACATTTATTTGTGTGTTATTTAAAATAAGTAAATTTTTGCTTAGGTGGCATCTGACTTGGTCCTTCTCATCCGTTGGTCATACACGTGAGGTCATTAAATATACAGAAAATTTTTAATTTTTGTTTTGTTTTTTAGATATGATTTGAACGCAAGTACACTTGGTGATTGCTAGACAACATATCAAACCAGTAGACCACTATGTTGTTGTTTGTATGTGTTACATTATGATTTGACTTTATTGTCTAAATTTTTTCTCTCATTACACTATTTCCATCGTTCTCTCAACACAAACAATCAAACATTTACCCATAAATTTGTAGTTCGTTAAAGTCAGTCACAAGTGCTCTGTTTGCACTTGTAATTCGTCAAACAATACAAAGTCAAGTAGCCATTTCTTTTCAAGATTGAAAGTCCTCAACACTGATAATAGATTAAGAGATCTAAGTTTATTATAATTTTTATTATTGCTTAGTTATTTTATTTTCGATTATTTTAAATCAACTTGTTTTGTACATATAAATTAGGGTTAAGGGTTTAGGGATATAAATTGTTTCTTCCAAATTAAAGAGATGATATTCCCGGATCCCTGATGATAACGACAACAGTGGCTGCGGTTGTGTTCCAAATAGGTGGAATTACAATGACATTTGCCATTGAGGATGATGAACAACGCCATAGCGTTTTTCAAGAAGTAGAATAAATGGGTTGTACCTTCCACGTCTGTTCTTGGAGAAATGTCTGCAAAAACAATTATAATGGTAAAATGTTAAAGTACAACTCTAATGGTGTAAAGAATGCAAAACACTTGTTATAATGTAATGGAGATTCGTTTCACATTTTTCGATTTCATTTTCGTTTGTTCAATTTCGTTTTTGTTTGTTCGTTTTCATTTCACACTTAATTTGTTCGATTTCATTTCACATTTTCGTTTTTTGCTTTCTGGAACTGATGATGTTGTAGTTGGGTTTTGTTAAGTTGCAGTAACTGGTGTTGTTTGGTTTTTTCAATGAACACTTAATTAATATATGTGAAGTGGCTGAGTGGTAGCACACAATGGCCAACAACCTTGCAAACTAGGGTTTGATTCTTGGGTGTGGAAAATTTTTAGTATTGACCTTCTTTTAATTTTAGAATTTGTTTAAGATAAAAATAAATAAAAAAGAAAATAAAATAATATGTGCAATTTAGTAATGGACATGTAGGATGCCACACAAGCAAAAGTTGACGGAGTTAATGAAAATTGGACGGAAAGGACTAATCGGGACCAAAAAGAATATTTTATCATAAATAAATTATTAAATTAAATATTTATCATTAAAAATATTAACAATAATTAATCTAGTTGTAAAGTAATCTATAATATAAGAAAAGTGTATCTACCCAAAAAGCCAATTTTATCTTTTTACTCCAAAATCACCACAGGTGACTTCTTAAGAGGAGAAAAAAAATCTATAACATAAGAAAACTAACTCTTTTTTTTCCAAAACATCACATCTCACTTTATTTTCTCAATTTTTTCTCATTTATTCTTCTCACTTCCTTCCACATACAATTTGTTTTCTACTATCCACAATCCATGTGTCTTCTTCAATGTGACGGTTACTGGGACAATTTCTCTTTTGAGACCTAAACCATACAACACCATTATTCCACGACCGTTTCATTTTCCTATTCCATCCTCAATTCAATCTTTGTTCTTCCAACTTCCACTGATAAAACTTTCCTTTATCTTCTTCTGATATCTCTGTCTTCTTCTTCATCATTTTAATTCAATTTAACTATTTTGATTTTAGGATTTGAAGCTTCGTGAAGTCGTCGTCGACGATTTGTCTTCTTCCACTTCTTACTGTTTTTTTCTCTCTATTTCAGAAGATTAATTTAATTTTTATGTTCACTTTTTTTTTGTTTTTCAGGTTCTTCAGGATTAATCTATGGGCTTCTAACTTCCTTCGTCGTCAACAATAGAAAGGTATGATTATGTGAGAAATAGAATAATTGGGAAATGTTTTTATTTTGTTGGTGTTGATAATGAAAAAGGGATAATTTGTGGTTAGGGTTTTTATATTAGAAATTGAGTTTGATGAGTTTGAAAAGGGGATAATGAAAAGGGAATAATTTTGTTGGTGCTCATTGCATTTGTTGTTTGCAAAAGGATTGATGCAAGTCTTCTACTTCATTATTAATTTATCACCAAAAATTTGTATTCATATTGTGAGTCTTATTGCAAATGAATTTGATAGATATGATATATACTTACAGAGAAATAAAAAACCGATTCGAAAAGTAGACATTTAAAATCTTTCTATTGGACTACAATTTTGAAGAAAGACGACAAAATTTATGGGATCCTATCACTGCTTCAGACTGGAACATTTGAAATAAGGTGAGAGTGCTAAGACTATGAATTCTACCAAATTAAATTCACTTTGCAATATGTACTAAATTTATTGGTTTTGTCTGTCATGTGTAATTGATAAATTTGTGTTTGGTTGTGTAAAGATCGTTACCAGATTTGGAACTGGTGACACAAAGCTCTCTATTATCGATTTTAAGGTGGAATTATAAAGTGAACATAGATAAAACCATGTGTTCTGATGATAATGGACATATTGTACTGGTAAAATACTCTAAAACTTTCAAATTTGCGAGGAATTTCATCTTCAATGATATTCTCTCAAAAGCATGCAATTTTTTGATAAATTACAAGTTAATGGTTTTGAATCGACATTCATCTCATTACTAGCCAGCAAAAACGAATTCAGGTATTTCATTTTTTAAATTATCATAGCACTAAGTTTCCTTTTCGAATGATAACATTGCCTGTATATTTTTTCTTTCTAAATATTGTTTCCTTCTTATGCATGTGCATTGACTACAACCCTATGTAACCATGATTATTACTAATCTGTGGATCGAACTTAAGTTTAGGCATTTGAATTTTCTCTTGGCTATATTTTATAAGAAATGAGACAAACTATTCAGCAACTTCAAATTCAGAATTGCACTGTTCTTTTGTTGAATATGTCAACCTCGATTCACTAATTTTCCTCCCCATTTACTCGTCCATCCACCTTCTTTGTCAAGTTATCTTAGTTGTTTTAAAGATATTCTTTCATGATCATAGGGATATACCGAATCAGGAGAGAAAAGTATGTTTGATATTCAATTATAAATGAGACAAGGATAAATATTTTTATTTGAAATTTTCAGCGCACACATGGTAGATTATTTGTTTCTTGTTGTTTCAACTTTGTTACTGCAATTCGGGAATCTATTTGCAAACATGTTTATAAATTATATTTGTGTCTACTTTTGTTTATCATGTATTGTTTTTTGTTTCCATAAAAATATTTGCAGGCACTGCAGCTGGAGGCACTGTGGAGATTGTGGTAAATGGGACAACCAGTTTGCTCCATCCTACTAGCAAGGCAGGTGTAACACCTCTTGCACATAACATTGTGAAATTGGCAACTCACCAAAAAAGAGGCTGACTATGGGAAAGAAAGGGTATGAGAGAGTCAAAGAGAGGTTTTTAGAGCACCATATAGAATTGTATTGATTCTCAAAGAAGTTTTAGAGAAGGAAAAGTACAGTTAAGTCTAGCTTGGGTACTTTACTATTAAATTGTAAATTGATTCCAAAGAAAAAGGGAGAATGGTTTGGTTATGAATCAATTGTATATCTCACTTTCTTTGTTCTGTATGGTATGGATAATGGGTCAATGTATAGGATTCTGGTGTATTGTTTGGTATATATTGTAATAGAAAGTACTTCAAAGATTAAAGTTTTCAACAAAACTTTCCACGTTTGAAGTTCACTTTGAAATATTCCTATTTTATCCATTTTATAGGACCAAAAAAAAATCATGATGGCAATTGATTTTCTTTAATAGAAGCCTGACATGGTTCTCAAAATAAAATTATATTATTGTTTTAGATGTCTGTTTGCTGAAATAAGTTTTCTATAGGAAATTTTAATTGAACTCAAGATGTTTTTCGTATTTCAGGAAAAGAAGAGTATTTGACCAACTTTTTCAGCAGGACAAATATTTGGCGGTATTTTGGCAATGTGAAAGTTTAATAACTAAGTGTTAGTTTGAGGTGTATTAGAAATGAGTATTAATGTATTTTTGTATAATGAATTATCGTCGATCTATTGCAACCGTTAAAATTGATGGAATTGATTTTAATTTACAGTTTATACTGATGGTTGCTGCAAGTTCAATGGGAGAGGAACTCTTCTATAGAGCTGCAATTCAGGTTTGTTTCGGAACTTCTGTGCATAAATTTTATCGTATTTTCCTAGAGATGTTTAAGAAATATATTTAGATTTGCTTCAAATTTGTATTGTATGTTTGAAACCATCTATATTGAAATTCTTATTGGAATTCTACAGGGGGCACTGGAAGATATATTTTTGCGAGGCAGTAATCTTATTCAAGATGTACGTGGAATGGCGTCTTTGGTACGTCTACCAATTTCTTTATGTTTCAAATATTTGAAACTAAGTTTCATTTTGGTAACTAACTCGCAATTTATACGGTAATATGTAGACAAGAGTTCTACCACCATTTTTTCCATTTTCTCAAGTACTCACAGTTGTACTTACCGCTATCATTACTGGTTCTATCTATTACGTCGTTACCTCTTCTAAAGGTTACTTTTTCATATATCCCATTTTACATTTTCTCTCTTTTATGTAGCTGTTTTTTTTTCAAGTTTGTTCTCATCCTGATTAATAATAACCATCTTTTTTCTCGCGCTCTTACAGATCCTAACTATATTGTTGTGCCGATTTTACAATCTCGCGCAAGTCGTTAAGATTTGAAAAAACTCGGGGCACAATGGTCCATTTGTTAAGGGTTGTCATTTCATATGTCATATTTTCATTTGATGAAAATATTGGATATTTTACATTCAAATTTTGCGCTCTATGTATTTCTTTTACTTTATTGCACTTTCAAATAGCTATGTGTTCTTACATACACCAACGCACTACATTTCAGATACCCATCCACTCAGGATCTCGTTGATAACAATTCTGCTATTGCCACTTATGACTTTGAAAATCCGATCTACCAAGCCGAGGATGAAGGTGGGGAAGATTGTGAGATACCTGGAGAACTTTCCAGACTCTTAATACGAGAAGAAAAGGCTATCCAACCACATGAAGAGCCAATTGAAATGGTGAACTTGGGTTCTTAAACAAATAGGAAAGAGGTCAAGATATGTGCTAACTTAGAGGGAAGTGTCAAGAACAGATTGATTCAAATGTTGCACGACTAGCTTCTTCGTCAAACATATATTCCAAATGTATATTGTTGTTGACACAGCTTCACCCTAAAACTCTTAAGGTAAATTATTTCCTTTCAACATACTTCTCACCATATTCATGATGGTTCGATTTTTCCTTTATGCAGTTACATTCTACTGTGGAGTGTAGGGTGGCACCACCTCATGCACAATCTCTTATTTTTCATATAATTTGTCGAAGTCTTTCAACACATACTCTTCACTACCATCAGTTCTCAAAACTTTGAGCTTTTGACCACTTTGTCTTTCGACCATAGACTTAAACTTGGCAAACACCTTGATCACTTCACTTTTCTTCTTGATCAGGTAAGTCTATAGTTTTCGACTAAAATCATCTATGAATGCAAAAAAGTAATTGTTACCTCCATTTGAATCTACCTGTATTAGTCTACATACATTAGAGTATATGATTTCAAGAATAGCCTTCGACTTGATTCCTGCATACTTGCTGAAGTTGTTCTTGTGTTGCTTTACCTGCACACATTCCTCACACACCTCGTTTGAAATGTCGATTTCTAACAACCCTATAACCATATTTCTTCTTTTCAAACCTCTGATGTCTCTGAAGTTTATATGATCTAGTCGATAGTGTCATATCCATTCATCTCTGCTAGTTGTAGTCGAAAGGCACTTGTGCTCCATCACATTAAGTTCAATCTTGAAGGTTCTATTTTGAGACATGGGAGCCTTCAAGATTAACCTTCCATTTGCCTCGACGACTCTCATCATCTTGTCTTTGATCGATACTTTACAGTTTTTTCCGACCAACTGCCTTATACTGAGCAAATTGCTCTTCATGACTAGTATGTACAACACATTTGAAATTACTGACATCTTGCTATCTTTCCTCATAATCATAACATCACCAATACCTTCATCTACTAGGGTATTGTCATTTGCAAATTTCACTGTGTTCTTTATCAAGGGTTTTATGTTGGCAAACCAATCTTTTCTTCTAGCATGTGTGATGAACATCCTGAATCCTAGTACCATTGGTCCTTGAATTTATCTTCATCTCTTATTGTGACCATCAACATCATCTCTTCTTAATGTTTTGCAAACTTTGCATCACTTTATTGATTCTTTCGCTTTTCTGGATAATTACTAGAATAGTGACCATACTTCTGACAATTGAAATATTGAATGTGACTCTTGTCAGGCTTTTAACCATCACCTCTTCTTCTATTTGCAGCACCACCTCTTTAGTTGTCTTGGTATGATCTTCTCTGATTCGACACATTTTCTTCGTGTTGGTTTCCTCTACAGGTCGAATTGTTGTAGCCACCTTTACTTTTATTGTCGAACCACTTTCCTTTGTCTTTCTTGTCTTTTGCTGATTGAGTCTGCAAAGCCACATCACTATCCGACTTGCCTACAACTCTTTCAGCCATTATTTGTTCATGAGATTCAAGCGTTCCTTGAAGCTCTTCCTTCAATAAAGTTTACATATCCTTCGAATCTTCTATGGCCACTACCACATGATCGAACTTCGAAGCCAAAGATCTCAAGATCTTTGAAACAACAACTCTTGTTGTTAACGTTTCCTCACAAACCTTGATTTGATTCACTAGTTGTGTAACCCTAGTGAAGAAATCAGATATGCTCTCGCTATCTTCCATCTGAAGCAATACATACGTTCTTTTATGAGATTGTAACCTGACCTCTTTCACCTTCTCAGCGTCTCCAAAAGATTTCTTGAAAATCTCCCAGACTTCTTTTGCAGATTCTACATCACTAACTTTTTCAAAATTGTCTGGACTCAGACATTGATGAATTATAAAGAGAATTTATAATTTTTCTTCTTTGATTATTTGTATTCCTTCTCTTCTTCTTATGAGGTGTCTTCTTCAAGTAGTTCTAATTCATATTTCACAAGATCTCAAAGATCTTGACAATAAAACACAACCTCCATCTGCTTGCACCAATTCTCGTAGTTATCAACTTTAAGAATTGGAAGACTTGTTGGAAAATGCCCGTGTGAATTATTCATAGCTATCGTGATTCCCTTCTTCTTCTTCTTCTTCTTCTCTTGATCGCTCAACCGGAGCTCTTGATATCAGATGTTGGAAATCCACCAATATCTATGATGAATTTATATCAATCTTGATGAACAAAATTGTTATCACCATACAATGATAATGAAAAGAAAATTAAAGAAGAAAAGAGATTTAGAGTTTCTGCAGAGTTTCTCTCTGCTCACAAACTGTTGAAAATTTTCTTATTCGCTTGCAACTGCAAATATTGTGAATATTCAATTGATTACAAAAATAGGGATTAATATTTATAATTGAGCTTGCTTTCACCTTAAGCCAAAAAATCTAAAACTCTAAAAACTCAAAATACTTATTTTGAAACTAAATCAAATCTAAATTAAATTTGTGTGTAATAGAGATGACTCAACTTCAACAATTCAATATAGATATCTTTAAATTGGATCTTGTGATTAAGTCTATCTTTATAGCCAATCCAAAATATAAATTATTTATTCAAATAAGTCACGGTGCTAATTTACAACATACACTTTCCCTCTTAACAAAATTCACGGAGTTAGGCCGTCGTAGAAGAAAATATGAGAAAAATGTAATATTGGCTAAAATCAAACTAAACAATATATTGTAACAAAAAATCAAACTAAACTAAAATGTTGACAATAATTTTTCCCTTAGTAAATAAAATATAGTATTTCGTTATGAAGCTGTTTATGCCGTTATACCTAAACGTTGACCAAAAAAAAAGGATTGGTAATAAATTGATATTAAGTACTTAGTCGAATAACTTCTAGTATAATTATATTCATATTCCAGCTATTAAAATAAAATGGTGGTGTTTGGTGTGTACCTAATCCATAATAGACATGCATGTGTATACAAGAAGAATCTAAAATGCTTTCGAGAAAAGAGGTAAGAAGAGTTTCCAAAATTTCAGAAACCAAACTCAAAGATAAAAAAAAAGTCTTTGCGAAGCTGAGAAAAAAATAATTATTGGAATACAAAGTTGGCAACCAAAACCAACCTTATGTCAGACGATATACTGAATATATAGAGTCTATAATGGCCTCAAAGTATGTGAATGGCACTAGCCACCCCTTTAAGGTCACTCGTCGATCTAAACCATTACATGATCATAAAGTAAATTACCTGGGATGAGGACCACTTGTATTAAAATTTAGTCAGCAAATAGTTTTACTGAATTTTTGTGTCTTGGATTATTTGATACGTAATAAAAAGATGTTCAATACCTAATTTATATTAAATTCAACAAAGTATAGAAAATTGTATTGTTGACTTTTTTTTTTTGGTTACCAAATTATATTGTTGAATTGTATTCTAACTACATATATAGTGAATAATTCTATGAATTATTCTGCTTATTAATTTTTTATTAATAATGAATATTATTAATAATAATTTTTTTTTATGATGATTCATTTCAAAATATATGCAAATATATATATATATATATATATATATATATATATATATATATATATATATATATATATATATATATATATATATATATATATATATATATATATATATATATTAATTGTAGACTGCATGTATGATTTTACTATTTTATAATAATATTAATATTTAAATAGTTAATCAAAATTCAAGTTCAATCACATTTTCATAAAATATTGTAGGTACATTTGGAACAATACAAATATTATAAATAAATTGTCTGATTGGGAATGAGGTCGCCCGAATGTGAGAACAGATCGTCCATTTAGATTTAGATCGTCCAAATATGAGAACAAATCGCCTATTTGAGTTTGGACTGTTTTAACTAACTCTTATTGCATATTTATTTAGTGAACGTGGAAGATGACATGTCCAAGCAACAACTAACCAATGACCACAAAGATGAGAAAAGTCATTTCTAACTATTCCGTATTTTCAAACTTCTCAGTCCACTTAGCTTCAACATTATTCCTAACTATCCCTAACTTAGAGAAAGGTTTAGAAAGAACTCATCCATATAGTATGGGGAAAGTCATTTCCTCCCGAGAGTTGATTATCACTTCCTTTAAAAAGTTAAAAATAGTAAGAGGAAGATTAATTCTGATGTTGTATGTAAGGAATAACAAGAGATGGTTGTCATACCAAATAAGCGTTTCTAGTTGTTTCTCTCTTGGGCAGAGATTTGCCACTAGAAGTTGAAACCAAAATTTTGGAATTGGGAGCAGAGAAGTAGGACTGGTGGGCTTATCTCTATTGGCATATATTTGATGAAGCTGGGTTGAGTAGACATTGTTGAATCTGTAATGTTCAACAGAACTATCAAACTCTTCACAGTCTATTGTCATAGCAATCAATGATGGAGTAATGAAGAGATGAGATTCATTGACACTGGACTGGATGATTTCATCGTCACCAGCTGGCACTACAGAGGCACTCATCCAACACTCTTTAACGAATATAGATGGGTGATAAGAACAAACTGTAGCTATTTTTGTATATACTTTTTGTTGCACTATCGACTTTTTGTTGTTAATATCGTTG